AGCGGCTTCTGGTCGCGCGTTGCCCCTTCCCGTTTCTTTCCCTCTTTCTGGTCGGTTACGGGAGCTGTGGCCATTGTGGTGCCCCTGGGGCGCCCGTTAGAACGGGTCGCGCCCTCCCGCTCATTGGAAACGGCTTGTGGGGAGCGCAGCCGGGGGCTGAGCGCGATACCCTCCCGGTAAAACTGCTGCAGAAAGCGGCCGTAAAAGGCGCTGGCACTTACAAAACAAGCCGAGTTCTCTTTAGAGCAGGTTTAAGGCATCACCGAGCAAACTGCTGAGGTGTTGCACAACGTTACCAAAGAGGCGCAGGAGCGCGGCCGTTAGCCCGGGTACCCCCCGGGTGTGGGGGACTGAGGCCCCCTCCAACCTCAACCCTCTGGAATTCCGTCACACACCTGGATAGTGGGAGGAAATGACAAGATAAATAACAGAAACACTGGACAAAGGAGAGTTGAAAGCGTTCTGGCTTTACATAATTTAAACAGGAAGGGAGTAGGAATTATCTCGTCTCAGTAGTTTAATTATAGGATGTAATAATTAATCATAGCATATCTTCTCCTATCTTGTACTAACTTGTCATGAGTGACTGCATGAAAATTTAATCCTGTTACATAATCTGGTTGTCTTTCACTTTAAAACCTAGCTTGTGGAAGCCTGTGTGAACTTCTCGGATTAAATTTTGACAATTTCAGCTGCTGACTGAATATACTGAGATGAAAAACAGAAATTCTTTGCTTCTGCCAGTGAAAAAAGCTCAAAATATTTCTAAAAGCACTTTAGAACATTTTATTTCTGTGTCCCTGTACACTGCTAAAATATAACTAAAGACAGATCTTGTAGTTGCTATCTTAGAAACTAACTTTCTGACACTAAAAAAGCTACTTTAAGTTGACAGAAGAGGCTTTTCATTCCTGTTCATTGTAATAATTTTGAACAAATAAACTATACAAATTATTTGATAATTAAATAGAGAAATTCCATGTGGAATGGAGTAAGACCCATAAGTAGGAGTCCCAGAGCTGTCCCATGTTTCCCAAAAGAGTAGATTTTCTGTGCTCAGTGTAGCACCATTACAGAGCTGTTAGTAGGAAGCATCTATTTTAGTTGCTTTTATAAGCCTGAAGGAGGAATTAAAGATTAAGGAGTTTATCCCTCAAGTTTCAAGCTGAAAAGTAAAGTAAATAGGGGATTCAAGAACAGGCTATGGTGAAGTCATAATATATATTATTAAATTTAATATTTTTCTCTCTGAAATGATTATTAAAGTATTTTTTTCTTTGCTATTATCCACATTTTATTTTAGAACACCCTTTATTTAGGAGAACCTCTCCTTTAGATGTTACATTCCTTTAAAATTTTGAAGGACGCAACCTGAACAACAGGCAATGTTATCTCTATCCCTTTATTTGCAGAAAGACAGTATAAGCAATCCAATTTTACATTATTTTGCATTAAATCCAAGTCAGCAATTGCAAAAACAAAATAACTCTTTGGGGAAAATTATAAATAGGAATTTCTCAGGCTACATTTGCATTTTTGACAGTAGAAATGGTGAGGCCTCTCGTGCTCCCACGCCTTTGTTTTCACCTTTCGCAAGGGCTAAGACTTGCCTGTGTGGTGAAACAGAAGAGGGAATTGATCTGACAGAAGAGAAATGGTTACGTTTCAACTTAAACGTTCCCTGCTGCAGTTCTTGCAGCTATGTGAACAGCCTCAATGGCAGCAGCAAAATGCACTTTGAACAAAGCCCTGAGCTGTTGTTGCTCAAAGGGGCAGAAGAGACATTGCAAGGGTTGTTGTACTGCACCCAGCACGTTGTGTAACAACATAGATATTGCACTCATTTCACTGCTTTGTTACAAGTAGATGTCACTTGCTTTTAATTTAGAGTTATGATTTTAATACTGTATTTGAATCTCAGTAGCATAATTTTAAAAATGCTTCTCTATTCCTTTGCCTGATTTAGTAAAATGATATTTTCAGATTATAAGGTACTTATGCAGAGACCTTATTCAAAAACATGGACTTTTTAAATATAGTTAGTGATTTTGATGCAAGTTAAAAAAAAAAAAAAAAAAGGAAAAGATGCTTTCCTTGTGCTCTAAATGTGTTTCTGGGAGGCAAACAATATAAAGTAGTCTCCTATTTATAATTAGATTTTTTTTTTTAGTTAGTTAGTATGGTGCATTTCTTATCTGCAGCATCTCAAGTCCTTATCATGCAACACTTTCTAGGACACTAGGATTACAGCTGATGGGAACTTTTGCTGTAAGTTTGTTATTCATGGGTAGAGATAATTCCAGGAATGTGTTCACTTCAAAACTATTTTGTTCTCTGCTGCTTTGAAAGACTTCCCGAATCTTTTCCCAAATGCAGATTTCCATCACAAGTATATATACACAATGACATCAAGCTCCTTTTCTTATGCTGTTTTTAAACCACACAGTTACTTCAATTCCACGTGTATTTGGAAGAGGAAAAAAATGCTTTCCCTGAATAATATCAAAACAGAAAAAAAATGGAAAACTGTTTTTAAAGATATGGAAAATCAGTTAATTTTGGACAGGTATGAACATACGTTATAGCAACTACAAAAGGAAATCTTCACTGTCAAAGAATGCAAATAAGTGCCATAAATAATTACCAAAGTGTAGCTTGGTGTCACAACTACAAATACAGGACTCATTCAGTGAAGGCCTGCTCTGGATTATTGGCCTGAATTAAACAGATTAAAATAGTTAAACCCTGTTAAATCTTTATAAGAAGGCAAACCTGCAGAATTAAACTGAGCTAAATGAGATTATGAGCAATTGCCTTCCAAAGGCAAGGGTCTTAAACTAAATTAATGCCTTTTATTTTAAATAATCATGTGTAGATTTAACACAGTTTAACATAATCCATTGTAGTTGTGAGTTTCTTGTTTTGCTTTGTTATTCTGGGGTGTCAGTACACTATTATTGTTCTGTTTTCGGGTGCTGTTTAACGCCCCTCTTTTCCTTTGAAAAGCCAGTGGTAAGCATCTCCCAGAACAAAATAGGGATATTTATTGCATATGTTCTTGTAGCTAGCCAGGTCAGACTCTTCTGCAAGCCACTGGAGAGCAGGATATCTGATACTAAAGAAAATTTAACTCCCTTTTGTAGGAAGTAAAATAGATTTTCTGTGTGTGTACTTAACCTGGTTATTCTTTTTTTAAAAATGTCTATATATCATTATGTAATTACCCGAGACTTGAGCTAACACAGTATAATAGTATTTTCCTACAGAAATATTATGTTAAAAAAGTGTGTTTCTGGCTTCATCGTCAAAAAACAGTGATTTCTTCTGTTGCCAAGCAATTGATGATGGTGGACATAGAGACAATTATTTGGAGAAAAGAGAAGAGGGAAAGAGAGGGAGCCTTTGAAGTCATTCAGAATAATAGATATACTGTGAGAGAAGCTGATAAATTCTCTTATAGCTATGCTTTATGAAATCATATTATTTAATTCATACTGTGTGTGACTTATTTGTATACCTCTTTGGTTTTAGATGCAACTTAGTGAAATATGTAACCTGTGAAGAAATTTTGGTGATATTCAAGGTAGTTTATCAGTGACTGTATGGCTTGGAAATAAGCAGGATACACTGAAACTGGCCCAGGAAGGTAAAAATCTCGAGATATGGTAAGCACATATTTTAAATGAAAATACTAACTACAGCAAAAGTATGCACAGATAACATGCTGCGTTGCATGTTCACTAAGATGGCTGTGATTAGTAGACCATATTAAGCATTAGCACCTGGAGAAAGTGAGTCCACTACTCTAAAGAGAATGAATCAGAACTCTTAGGATTATTCCTAATTCTTCACTGACTGCATAAGTGTTTTAGTTTTTCTTTATACATTGCGAATTAGTATAGCATTATATTTTCAGTGACATTTTCAAGTCATTTGAGTTCGTATAATGCAGATAAGAGCACCCATCTATAGCTACAAGGTAAGTTTAGAATTTTTTAAAATTAATATTCCTTGCTTTTTACAACATCGTGCAAAAAGATATAAGCCAGTATAACAAGTTACAGGTTTTGTCTTGGAATTGGAATAGAAATGAGTCATCTGTCTTACATAAAACATACTAAACATTGTATCTAAACTAAACATCTACATTAGCGTAGAATATGGAGTATGTTGTTTTTGTTTCAATACTAATCTGCAGTAAAAAGCAAAATCTAGTAAGCAGTCATTCCGTAAGGCTTTGCAGCAACACCTGGACTATATTTCATTAAATCCCAAACTGAGGATTGGCCTTCTTCATGAGCAAAGTCAGGGCCCGATAGACCAGCAGAAGGCACAACTCGCACTCCTGTGTTTTCCGTGGTGGTGGCCGAGCCCACCCTTAGTACCAGTTGAGTTCTAGGGTGGACTGGCAGGCCTGCTTCAGCTCATCTGAGTCTACCTGAAAGSAGAAAGGTAAGATTTCTTTTAAGCTGCAAGGCTCAGAATTGGGAAGGACTTCTTGAATTAACAAAGGAGGAAATTCAAGCAGTTTCAGTGCACACTGAAAACCAATGTATTGCATGGGGTTAGTTGAAACTTGTTAATGCCTGCCAGAGCTGTGAGCATCTACTTCAGGCTTTCAAACAGACTTTGAGGATATTCAAGAGGAAAATATGTAGCAGTGTGACAAAGGTTTGGATGACTGATCTAATGAGGATATGAACAAAAAAGATTACCATTTTCCAAACTCCAAATGGGCAACCTGCTGGAAGCCTCCTGTGAGGAAGAAAGAAGAGTTGGTACATGTCACTGCTGTTACCTTTTCTTATGTACAATAAGGGTTATGATAACTAGGTGGTGGGGGAAGTTCTGGAAATAGGTGGCAGTTTGATCTGCTTTTCCTGTTATCTAGTTTTGTTTGTTTTCTTTTCACAGCTACCTTTTTCTCTAATATACGAGTCTTAATCAGATTTGTGTTGGGAAACAATCAAATTGCACATGTCATTCTGGCAGAGGGAAGAAAAAAAAAAAAAGAGGTATGTGCTAGGCTGCCAGTGGTACTGCAGTGTAGCTTGACTCCTGATGTTGTTTAAATAGGAAAGGTGCCAACCTGGAACCACATGAAGCCATACCTGAAAGTACCCTGGAGTGAAGAACTTCCGAAAACTATTTCTTAAGTAGGCTGTCCTGAAAACACAGTCGTGGGCTGTGGTTTTTTTATGTTTGTTTTTTTGAAATCATTGAAATCAAAGATACCTAGTTAAGACAACCGTGCTAAGTATAACTTGTCCAGAGAATGTGAAAAAAATGAAAATAAAATTTGTTTCTGGCCTAGAAAATCCAACAGGTGTAAAAAAGCCAAACAGAGCTACGAAAAAAAAAAATAAAAGGGAAGACAATAGGTATTTTATACTAATTCATGTATTTAGTGTGGATAAATAAGTTTAATGTCCATTACAGCTTAAAGCACATCAGGAACACACGTTCCTGTCTGATTTTACCCCAAAGGAATCCAGGTCACATGCTCTGACGTGACTCTATAAAGTGAAGCAAAGCTATTGTAAACAGGGACAATCAATTTAGCTCACTTACGAGCCAAACTAAAACACAGTCCTCATACACTTTGCCACAGATGGGTCTTGGCAGGAATGATCTTCCTGAAGAAAACATAGTATAAACCTTTTTAGGCTGGTGAGCAGATTATCCTCTTGGGAGTTAAGCTAAGGAGGTTAAATTTCTTCAAAGGTTCTACATCATCTCTCTAGTATCCTGAAAGTTCTAATAGCTAAATTGATCTTCAAAAAACACATATCTAATTTCTCACTTCTAAAGAGAAGTGTAGTATCTGCTTTGCTTTTGCATATACAGTTAAAAATGCACAACTACATTTATATTTTAATACAAATATGATTTCATATAATATTGTATATGTGCACATATATATGGATATAATTTATATAAAATAATGTAATTCAAGGACTGGAATCAACAAAGCCAAGCCTTGTCTGCTTGCCTGTAGGCTTAAGTGAAATGGCTAAATGTTATATTTCTCCTCAGCCTAGCCCTGCTAAATCATATCCACTTAAATCCCAAAACATTATATTGGCTTTTAAAGTATAGCTCTCTGCATATACTATGCGGGAAGCTAAGGCACATAACATGAAGAAGCAACTGTTGTAATATTTGGTTAAAGGCCAATACCCCAGCTCCTGCAAACAGTATAAGCAATTATTTATCATCATATCATACCTGAAAGGTCCAGTAGTTATCCAAAACACAGGCCTGTAAGCCACAGTAAAAATGGCAAAGCATTTTCAAGCTGACAGAGTTCAAAAACAGGCTTAATTCTTGAGTTCTGACACTGAGACATTCCAAGGCAGCTGAAATGTTTTGGTATTAATTTACTGCCATTCCTTCCACTTTGCAAAGGCTCTCCTAACTTACTTATTATATTACCAAATATTTTAATGAATAAAAGATCTTTCATTGCAGAAAGAAAGCCTAAGTGGTGTTTGTTAAGTTTTGTCTCTGCTACAAAAACGTGACTGGTTTCAGGTGTGCGTAGTCTCATCTCACTCTAGGTCAGTCAGTGTTAAATGAACCCTTTCTTACTCTGTCTATCCTTTCCTATACCTGGTTCCCAATCTTGACTTTTTTTCCTAGCCAAAGCCTCCTTATAAGAAGCCTTTTTGCTAACAGACGGGCAAGTTCCTCATCTCCTAAAGCTGTCATCTCCAAAATTAATCATATGCTTTAGGCACCCACAATATATGCCCTGCTCAAAGAGAAATGGTTTGGTCCGGTACAAGAAATTCCAGGGCCTGTGGCACACACAGCAGATGAGATGATCCGAATTGTGTCAGCTCTTGGAAGTGACAAGTGACCTAAGAAAAGACTGGAACAAAGGGAGTGATTTAATGGTATAAAATGCAAAATCCAAACGCCAAGCAAATGGAAAGAAGCAACCTACCAAGAAGTATTTGCGCTCCTTGCTTTGATGGTGACCCTTCTGTAAGAGGCTTCTGCTGCTGGATGTTCTCACAGGGGCCCACAAGTCCAGTATTTCAGGTAAAATAAGCACTGGTGCTGCTGCTGCTCCTCCTCTTCCTTCCACTCACAGTCATAGTGATCATAAAAGAACCCACCTGCCTAATTCCAGTCCTTCCAGTTGCAGGGTAATGAGCTAATTATGCTGATTACAGAAAACTGAAGAGGGGCTGTAATATAGATGTTACAGTATAAAATGTTTATTTCTTTATATGAAAGAGTGCGTGTAGCGCTTACTATTTTTATTCAAAATAAAATGCACTCCTTTCCCTTTGATCGAGGATGAAGCTGCAGAGAATTAACCGCTTTGCTTTACATTTTAAAGTCTGCTTCATTGCATGCACGTGTAGTTATGTTTGTATGCATCTATGAATAAACTGTTGCTCATAATATACTATTCTAATGGAAAAGAAAAAAAAAGTTGTCAGCAGCAACTCCAGATTATATCTATGTGAACATTCATTTGAAGTGATGATGTATTCATTTTTATTTCTTGAAATAAATGCCAAGTAGTTTTTTGCATTCAGGAATACTAGAAAAAACAAATGCAAATGCAAATTCAATATTATTATAAGCAATAAATATGACTTGGGATTACTTCTGTAACTGAGTTTGAGTCTGCCTCCCCTCAACCCTCTATTCTTCATATGACTTAGAAGCAAGCAAAGATCCATTCCTGGCAAATCTCCATAAGGATTACATGGAACATAAACTAATGGGGATTTATCTTTCCTCTGAGATGGAAAATAACTACAGCAACATAAAAACATTAACATCTTATTAAAAAATTACAAGTGCAAAAGAAAAAAGTTAAAAGGAAATTAAATTCTCACAGCAATATTGAATCATCATGGTGGATAAATGTGCAAGTCCAGAGCAGCACATGTGAAGTTCACCATACTCCATGTATGCAGTGGAGTTTTGCTCAGTGAAATAAAAATAGGAAATATGTAGAAGCTGAGTGTTTAAAAAGATAATCTGAATATACTGGCATATAATTTTATATGCAGCACCATAGTATCCTGGTTTTTGGCTGCTATGGCCATAAAAAAGCCGGTTTCTAGCGTATAAAATAATTCTAATGAAATGCTTATGTTTAACTGAAACAATTAGAATGTACTATGTTCTTCATCATGAGAAAGGAGAATTTATGTAGTATTTGCTATCAGAAGAGATTTTAAATGGCTGTTTATGACTCCAAACGTTTCTTTCTGCAATATAGTCAGTGAAAGGTATTGCATAAATCTGAAGCAAGGTAGAAGGTTGCACAGGAATGAACTACTTTGCTGCTGGACATCTTTTGAATGCTGGTTTTTGAGACCACCTGTGACTTTGAGACCACAGTGTGACTCTGCACTTTGAGAGTTAAATGCTTTAAAGAATTCAAAGCCACTTAGCAAGGTTCACATGTACGAAATGAATGGAAAACTGGTCTTTTTAAAGCTTTACTATGGTTAATTCCTTGCTTACCTGGTTTTGGTTACCCTCTCACCCTCCTGATGCAAGTTGTATTACATACATAAACACACAGAATAGTAAACTCCCTTTCTCTGGGTAATGAATGCAAATAGATCAGCAGTTCTATGACATTTGGTGTGTTATTTTATCTCATCTGCAGTGAAAACACAGCAAYACAAGATACTTTATAAATGTTTTTTAAACACATACAGCCTTTCTATGTGCAGAGGATAGCATAAACTACATTATATTAAAGATGAGTTTATATTGAAACCAATAGACAAGAGTTTTTCAATATTGCTCCCTATTAAATTCAGTTAATACAATATTAGCACTAGGATTAAAAAAAAAAAGTAATTTGTGTATTTAGATTAGGTCATCTTCCTTGTATTTAAAAAAAAACCCACAACAACAACAAAAAGAATGACCAATGACTTAAAAGTGTCCCTGGTGTCCTAGTTTTCAGTTTGTACCATGGAAAAGTATGCAATATTTGCATATCTCTTTGAAGATTCCTTGAGCTCTGTAAGACCTAGGAATCCTCATCTYCTCAGAGCACTACAGTGGTTACAAGGTTGGGGTACTTCAGTGCTTCTCCATTATCAGCTGTTTCCTCTGCTTTCTTTGACAGGGAATCTACGAGAGGCAGCATCCTCTTTGGAAAGGTCCTGAGTATGTCTTTAGCCCATAACTGATCTCTTCTACAGGAATGGGAGGCCTACAGAATCATAAACTGATTGATACTGCAAGGAAGTATGAGCTTAAGTCTTTGTAATTAGAGGAGATAAAAACTGCTGCTTTCCAAATGTAGTGAAAAACAACCTGCATAAAGGACTGGCCCAGATTTGAAAACATATTTTTGCTCTTACCTTCCACTGAAATCAGAGTCCCAGCTTCTTAGTGGAAATCAAGCAGCAGCTAGTGGCTAGCAAAGAGAGAAAAACCCCCAAAACTCCAGCAGCAAAGAAGGAAGATCCAGAACCTGTTGACAAGTGACAGTTTCATTCTTCAGCACCATGAAACCCCCTTAGCCTTAGCACCACACATCATAACATACTCGTTTTCTGATATTTACTTCCCTACTAGTAATAATAACTAGTAACAAGGTAGATAGAAGTACAAATGGGATGAGAGAGGCAGAAGAATGAGGTGTTAAACCATCAACGTGTATGAATGAACCACCACCAATAGGGCAAAATCTGCATGTTAATTTAAAACATTCAATGAGAACAGTAGACAATAGCGAAGAGTTGCTCCAAATCCCCATTATTGCATATTCCTTTCTCTTCCCTGTCCGTGGGATGTAGTCCACACAACCTCTGTAAATCCATGGGCCACCTTACGTTGCACACCGCAATCCAGTCAGGATCCTGCAGTTTGCCCCCAGCCCCAAAAARCACAACGGTAAAAAGACCAAGAGAATAGCAACAGGGACAAAAGTAATAGAATATTTTATACAGTCAGCTAAGTCTGCAGGAGGTATGAGAGAAGGAAGATGTAAGAGAGGCCTTAAATGATCAGCGTGAAGACAGCAAATGGGGATCAAATTGTCATTTTCTGTAGAATGAGACATCAAAATRAAGGCAGAAGGCAGCATGTTCGAGGCAAACAGCAAGGATATATCTCTGCATGCAACATATAGAATTCTTCAACTGTAGAATTCTGCTGCTCCTTGCTTGGTGATGCTGAAAGCTTATGTGGATTCAAGGGGATAGTGGACAACTTAACAGAAAAGCTGACATGAATTCATTCCTAATAGAAACTGTGAGCAGGAGGGTTGGAATGTGTCGTTTCTAATCAAAGACAGCTTATTACAAAAAAAGGAATTTCAAAACAATGAGTTCAAGTGGTGGGAAACTATATCCTTATGAAAAGGGTGCTACATTTTCTTAYGACAAAACTAATACATGGTATCATATATGTGATAATATGTATTGATATATATGATAATGATATATGATAATAAAAACAGACCAATAAAGTCTCAAAAATCTTTCATTACATACATTATTCCACTAGTGCATTTGCACAGCCTATTTGCCCTGTCTATGGGGCAGTTTCTTGAAAACCTATAGGCAAAGAAATGGCTGGTATATTCTTAAATCAAAGCTCTATTTTGTATATTTGAAATCGGTCTGTGAGACAGTACGAAGCAGCACATTGCCTGTTATATGTATTCTATGTACAGTTTGTGCACATACCACTATCATTAAATGCCATGTGTGAAACTGTGATAGTTTTGTAATATGCCCATAAGATCTACATAAATATTACCCAATTTAGATTAAAAATAATCAACTTGCTTTGAAATCGTACTCAAGCCAAGTGCGCCAACACATTGCATCAGCCTGAAGGGCAAACATCAGGTAATTCACGTTGCTCCTCTAGATACTGTTTTTATTGTCATATCCAATGGCATGCTGGACGGGATACTGTTCAACTGGAAGTTTCACTAGCCTGGCGTTGAGCACTATTAACTCATCCTAATAGGTGTGACTTATGGACCGGAAGAGTCAGTAAACAAACACAATATMAGTGACAGTATGAAAATAGACTAACTGTAATTAGTGATGTGACTCTATGAGTAACAGGAAAATTACCCTGACCTAATTGATGGCAGTAGCAAGAAAAACTTTTTTAAAAAAAGGATTTCTATATGATTAGTACTTTAGCAAGACTTTTTCATGATCATTGGCAGAATCTGGGGTCACTGTGAATGCTACTTCTCCAGTAGGCAAGCCCAAGGCACCCAAATCTCCGTGGGGAAGCACAGCAGCAGCCACGGCCACCGTGTCCGCAGAGCCTGAAGGTTTGAAGGGAGGTGCGGGCTGGCGGCGCTGCCCGGCCTGCAGGTACCACCCGTGCAGCGAGGAGCCAAGGCCCACGCGGGCTCTGGCACTGCCGGCTGTCCCACCGAGCTCCCGAGCCCCGGCCCCTCCATCCCCCTGGCTGGCCACACTGCCCAGCCCCAGCTGCATGGTGCACGGTGCTCACTGGGCTGCTGCACCACTCGCAGTGTTTCGCACATAAAAAGGTGCATCACTGCCCTACCTTACGTTGGGGCTTCCTCCTCTACCCTGTGCTGCCCTGGCTTCTGTGCCAGCCCTGCCACTTCACAGCGTGCAGACAGTGAGAGCAGGCTAAACCCAAGGGTGATCTGCTCATGCATAGTTTTGCTGTTTGGAATCAAACCGCATATGACTTGTTCTTCTGGTTAAAGATATAAAGCAGAAATCAGATTTTAATGCAAAAGTAGGGACCCTTCAGTATATACAAGTAAAAAAAAAAATAAAAAAAGAAATCCTATTTATATGATAAAAATACCAGACAGATCTACAAGCTGCTTTCTGACAGCAGCAGATCATAAGCAAGTGCAAGCTTACTAGTACTTAGCTATCGTAAGCAAGCACAAGTTCTTGCTAATCATATCCTGGATTATAAAAATGACAAAAACCACAAAAAGGCTCAGGCACGGGGTCAGGGCTCTGTTGGCCGAGCCAGAGCCCTGCTGCTTCCCGCTGCACAGGGAGCCGCACGCCAAGTCAGGCGCGGGCAGGCGGCATCCGCGGGCTGCAAGGGCAGCAAAGCCCGGTCTGGGGTAGAGCGGCCGAGTTCTCAGGATGGCACTGGAGGTGGAACGGGAAAGAGCGGGCGCGGGACCCGCGGCCCCGAGGAGCGGAGGCTGCGGAGGGGCGGGAGGGCGGCGGGGGTCGCGCGGGGCCGCCCGCGGCTCCTCCCCGCGCCCGCCGGACCCGGCGCGCCCTCCTGCTGCTGCTCCTGGCCGGTGAGTCCCGGGGACCCGGGGGGGCTCCGCGGGCGCGGGGCGAGCGGCGCAGCCCGGCGCGGGGCACCCGGCGCTCCCTGAGGAGCCATCCGCGCTCCCGCACTTGAGCACCGCGTAGCCCCTGTGCCCCTGCTCCTGAGCGGTGGTGGAGGGCGGCTCGAGCTGTGCCCGGCTTCCTCGCGGCTTTMCTGGGGTGTTCATCGCGCTGGTACCCTGATTACTTGTTTCCTTATCTCTTCGGTGACACTTGCGGAAAGGGAGCTGGGCTGGCACACCAAAAGCATCCCAGGATTCAGGTTCCCATGGGGACATGGTACAGACTGGTACTGGTACTAAAAAGGAGTTGTTGGGAATCCGTGCTCCCCAAAGGCTGGCTCCTGCTGAACAGTGGGGTAGTTTGGTACCCAGCCCTGCATACGCAGCAGGTTGGGAAGTCACTACTAGTAAACAGTGCTTTAAAGTAACTGAACTAGCCTTCTGYTGAATCTCTGTGCAAGGATGAAATCCAGTTTGCCTGAAAAGCCTTCAGCTGCCTTAAYTACAAGATCTCTTTGGTCTTCTTGTACTCTACCCATTCCCCTAGCTTGCAAACCCACTAAACCAATCTGGCAAATAGAAAAACCCTCCAGCCAAGCGCCTCCATTCCTGCTGATAACAGATCCTTTTCGTGTAACTAGTGTAGGGGGGGTCCAAGGAAAAGCAGCACAGCCAGGCGATTAAAGAGCATAAGGTACTTGTATAATGGGGCCAGCTTGGGTTTTAGCCAGTTCAGTGCCCCAGTTCCGCTCCCTGACCTCAGGCTGCCCCTCTTACACCCGATCAGAGTCGCGCTCAGCTCAGCTCAGCACAAACCTCGGCAGGCGACGCAAGGCTCGACCTGGCTGCGCCGCTGCCACCAGCCTCGGAAATCCGTCCGAGGAGAGCCTGGCTTCAGTCCTGCAGCACTGAGTCACACRTCACAGTCAGCCCTGCTGCAGGCAGTGAGGAGGAAGAAAAACACAATTTACCTGTTTCTCAATGCTTGATCCATAAAAATCAAAACAGGCAAATTATCCTTTCAAGCAAATTGCCACATCACCACRGACTGTGGAGTTAGTTAGCAGGCTGGTAAGCTGGGCAGCAGGATGAGCAGAGAAAGGCCACTCTTGATGGCACGTGAAAGCGCTGCAAATCATATGGTTGTTTACAGCAAGATACTGGCCATGCAAAGTCCTTCCTGCCACATTTCAAACCCCAAAGCACTGGAGCACTATGGCTTTAAAAGGGAAATACTGCAATATGTAATGACAAATACACTTAAGTATTTTTGTCATTGTGGTCTTTGAAAGAATTAAAATATTTTGGCTGAAACTCTTAAAAGCTCACTAAGCATCAGAGACTAATAGATGCTAATAATGTAGTTGTTGCATGAAGCTATGTATCTCAATAAAAAAAAAAAAGTGAAAATATTTTTGCATCATGCCAATTCCAAAGAGAAAATCTCATAGGAAGCACAGACGAGCTTTTGTGAAAAGCTGTGTCTCTAAAACATGCTTTTTCCTGCATGCATATACAGAAAGGAGTGGATTTAATTTTATATTTTAACAAAATTATATGACCAGAAATGTGTGGAAAAAAATGACAGCAGCAAGTCGTAGTGGAAAATATCTTTTAAAGACAGAGTAGCTATTATATGGTAATGTACAACAGCAAAATCTGAACTCTCAAGGGCTTATACAGACAGTGAACCAATGCTGTTTAAGTTTTCCATATGCAGCAGGACTCTAATTTGGGTAACAGAAATTACAGACTTAAAATTAAGCACAACAGAAGCACATAGTGACTACTTACTGTTATTTTCTCTCAGGCAGTCTTTAATGTTTATATAATATCAGTCTTCAAAAAGTCGCCTTTGCCTTTTGATCTCTGTGGCTTTGTTGTTAAAATCTCCAGAACTTTTTTCCCCCTCTTTCTCTCCTCTGTGATTTTTTTTCCTAAGTTAGTCTCAAAATTGGTAAAGATTGTTTTTCCATGCAAATACTGTCTTTAAAGCTTTCTTTCAAAAACAAGAACAGCTGAACCTTTAACAAAGGCACTTCCAAAAGCAATTCCAAACATGCAGCAGCCACTGGAATTAAAGAGTACATAGCCATAACAAAACTAGGCTTGAATTGTGTCAAACTGACTAAATTATTTTTCTATGTTTAATTGTACCTATTTTCTATGACCTCCAGATACTGKTTTTTTTTGTTGTTTTATATTTCATGCACATTATAAAGCAACAAAAATAAAACAATCCAAATCCCTGCCATTTTCCCCAGCCACGTTTTGATACAGCTGCACACCAGATGCATGGCAAAAACAAATCAATGAGAACCTGTTTTGCTGTTAAGAGATATACCTGTCTAAGGTAGATATGAGTGATATCATACTGTTTTTTCAGGAATGCATAATCAAACTAGAGGAATATTCTTGTCCATAAGGGTAATGAGAAGTCTCTATAAAAAGAAGGAAAAGCATGTAGAAAGATTTTAAAAATATACCTTAATAGTAAGAAGTTTGGAAATACACAGCAGTATGTCACATCACTGTTTCCATTCCGTACAAATTCTGATAAARATTTTAAAAATTTAGTTATGCTGCCAATGTACTAATGTACCATCATTGTACCAATATGCTGATTGTCTCCATAGTTCTACTGGTTCTAGGACAATCTCTCGCTTCCTTTATTATACTCAGATTACAAAGCTCTTGGGACAGATGCTCTAGACATGACAAAAAAAGGAGAATTTCTAATGTTGTGGCTACCTCCATGTCCAGATGTTGTTACACAAAGAATTTGCAGGGACGACAAGTTTACCTCCTTCGTTGAACTTAGGTGGCACRTTTCAGAGATTCATCCCTGCGCCCTCCAGCGAGGCGGCCGTTCATCGCTTCTGCTTTGCACAGACGTAAATCAGGGGCCTGGCACTTGTCMAAAGTCAGTGGGCAATTCTCTGCAACCAGGAACGCAATTTGGAAACGCTTGATTCCCCTTTCCTGCCTTGTAGAACTTCAGTGCTACCCCTCCTTTGCAGCCAGGAAGAGTTGCAGTGAATAAACTCTTCCCTTTATTTAGGGATTTCTTTAAAAATCCTAATATAACGCAGGATTACGCAGAATAAGCCCATCTTTAACCCGGCTAATAGTTAACTATCTACTAACCCATCACCTTCAGTCCTTACTAGCTAGCAACAACAGCCTAGCCAAATTTCCATGAACTTTCAAATGGTGTCACTCCTAACGCTGAAGTCTTCCTGCAAAGCTTTTTGCAGATGAGATTTTGCAGATGAAGTTTCCACTGAAACCATACCTGAGAGTGAAGATGACACTTTCAGGGCTGTCAGAAAGGTATCAACCTGGTAACACCTTAAACAGTCACTTCTACCCAGAGCTGAAGGAGCTGTTCAGAGGGGTGAAGCAAGGAGATGCTCACATAGCAGCTGCACACCATGACTGCACTTCTGGCACCTAGAACTACAGGGATTCCAAAAGAATCCACTGGGATGTTTTGGAGACTCTCTGGGGATGAGTGAGAGGATCAGATGCTTCAACAATTCATTATATGTGTGTATCATGCAGCTAGGGCAGTGACCCAGTATATGCTATCCACTATCCTGAGAAGGAAGTTCTAGTGCAAATGGAGCTGCAAGCGACTGCACAGTCAAGGAAGCTTAATTCCTTAAGATGAGATTACTGGTAATTAATGGCACAAGCAAGTTCACTCCTGCTTTACCATTCGCTCCTCTCCCTGTATCACGTCTATGAAGCAGGAGAAAACAGTATTTGGGAGTAGTCACCAGTCAGAAGAGTCCTAAATACTGTCTTAGAAAGTGTAGCTAGGGTCTTAAGTATGGCCTTCCCACAAGCATTATTTCTAAAATATTTTTACCRTTCTCTCATGCACAAAACACTAGTTGTTCCTTAATGAGGTGATTTCATGGGATATTTAAATATCTTAGTTTCATGAAATTGCTGGTGCTGGATTAATTGCTCCATTAATTGGTTTATACTCATCTGACTTCTTAAAAACCAATGCAAATAAGCTGGAAAAGTCCTGCACAATAGAGAAGTGTCATCTTTAACCATTGAGGGTCTGAGATCAACCTGAAAATCAACCATGGCTGTGTCTGATAAAACAGGTTTTCTAACTTTCATCCATGTGCCACTACCAGCTGGCTGGCCATTAGAGAGCAGCGCTAAGAAAAGGATGCCCAAACATTTATCTGCTTCCTTTGACCTAGGGTTTTAGTGCCAGCCTGACATGGCTTAAACAAAAGTTGCTGAATATGTCCTTGCTCTGCAGCAATAATAGTGAGATAATTCCCATACGGAAAATCCTCTGCAAATTTCCCTGGCACTGTTTTCAAGACAAGGTAAATAACTAAGTAAATCACTAGCTAGCTTAAACATGAGGATTCCACGGTTGGAAAACAGACACTATCTACAGAAAACAGTTTAATGAATGTAAAGCATTACCTTCTGCAAACTGACACYCCTGCAGAACAACAACACAGGCAAAATAGCATTTCGGAATTATGAGAAATTAGTGTAATGCTTATGGCATCTAATCTCAGCAGATCAGTTGATGTGCAGCACAGGACACAGGCTTGCCCTAGCCACAGTTTTAAGAATAGGAATGACTAAGCTTGCTATTACATCCTGCCTTGATGGGAGGAAACCACTGCAGCTATCGAGAATGCTAGTTAGTATTTTGCTTGTTACAGAGCAGGGGCAAAGGGTTCAAGGACAGCTAGTCATTGTGGCCCCAGACTATCAGAATGAAGATATTGCTTTATTAAATACTGGTGTTTGTTATTGGCATTATGGAAAAAAAATGAAACTGCAGTAATGGAGGAAGGATCCACTATCAAGTAAAGAGGTTTTTCCCCTCCTTTCACAGTTTCTAAAGGCACTGTGGGAGCAGCTCGTGCGAGGACCCGAAGAGGAATTCTTGAATTAGCTGGAGCCATCAGATGCACTACGGGACGGTCTCCCTTCGCCTACCTGCGCTACGGATGCTACTGTGGTCTGGGAGGAAGAGGCTGGCCCAAGGACACCGTTGACTGGTAAAGAGCACCCACTTATCTGATTAGTTAGCTGCTGGATTTACACAGAGGACAAAATAAAAACCATTAAAATAAGAATCAACCTGTAAGTGCGAGAACTGGAGTTTAAATGCACTCTGGAGGGCTGAGAAACTCTAAAACATTAAAACTGTTTTGCTTGTACCTACCTGGTTCTGCCTTTAACCCAGGCTTGACTGCACTGATACTGGCTGCTGGTGCTGCTGGCTGACGCCAAGACCCAGAGCATCCTTGGAGGACTCAAGTCGTCATGCGTTCAAGCTAGCTATAACAATACTCACTATTGAAACTATTCTCATCTGACTTTCACCCCCTTGTTTTATAAGTATTCAAAATAATGCACCCAGATTTGTGCATAAAATCAGTCTGTTTAAAAAAGAAAAACTTTTCAAAAACTTTTCAATGAAGGAATTAGGAATTGTTCCTAAAATAAATATAAAAACAGAAATTTCACATTTAATAGTGAATACTAAGTCTCAGTATACTGACGACCAGGAATTTATAATCACAAATTCACTGCGAGGAAGGTAATTTCCTGGTTAGATTAGTTAAATAAAGGCTTTCTACTTTCAAGTTTATAACAGTATACTTACCTATCATATAWTTTATCTAAAGTGCTGTATTATCAGACACAGACTGACAAAAAGGAAACAYGAAACTCATACTTGGAATAGAATATATGGAAAGATCACATAAGAACATTTTGTACAGACATTCTACCAGTCATTAAACTAAAGCTTCTGTAATCTTTGCCTCRGTATTCCAGGCTTTTCCTTATAAAATCTGTTATTTTAAACACAATTCTGTAAAATACAGTTGCTATTTTAATGACTGGGAACACACGGAAAGAGAGAATTGTTGTTAAATCTGATCACTATGTTCCCCAAAGATAAACACTGGAATGAAGATTTGCAGTCTGCCAGTCTTCCTTGTGGGTACATTTTTCACTTTACCACAGTCTCAAAGCAGCAAGAAACTTCTTCAGGAAATACAGCTAGTTATTTGTTGTCTGTGTTTTAGTAACTACATATTACAAAAAAAGGTCAAAGTAAGGGTATTTGATCTACTTCAACAGTTGCAACAGTCAAAAAACTACATTCGGTAACATCCAGAGTCAAACACGCTTACCAACTTTTCTTCCTTAAAATTTTGGTCTACTGTCTATGTTAAAGATTATCCTTAAAATAAATTAAATTGGGGGGGGGGTCACAAAAAAAAAAAAAAAAAAAGAGCTTATTCCCTTTATTCCCTTATGCCAAAAGGAATGTACTGAGCTACTTCAGCAAGGAGAGTATGCTGTTCAGTTCTGAAGTATTTCAGGCTCTTTAAATGACAATTGTTGTGCAATTACTAAGAAACTATTTAATAAGCAGAAGGAAAAAGTGAGAGCTCACAACATTGACTATTTCTCATGCAGACACAGGTTCCTCAGGCAATCTAAACACCATCCAAAAACCATGTGCTTTCTGTCATACCATGTTTTTATGTACCAGAAGGAAATATATAGCTGAACGCAAAGAACTTGCTGATGCAATCAGTGCTTCCACAGAATCAGAGCAGTCACAGCTCACAGGAAGGATCTGCAAGCTCTCTGATTTCAGGTCCTCATTACCTCCCCTAATTCAACGTACATCAGAAACTAATTTTGATCACCATTAATTTGTTCACGTGATCTGTTAAATAATTACTTTCCTCTTTCGARTCCCACGCAGGGAACACTTTGTACACCCAGATAAATTAATTACTATTTCACAGACCACAGAAACAGGCTGACACAAACCATCCCGCTTATAAAAGATGAATGAGGACAAGCCTGTTTGTGCCTCTCAGGTGCTGCTTCGACCACGACTGCTGCTACGGCAGGGCAGAGCAGGCCGGCTGCCAGCCCAAGGTGGAGAGCTACAGCTGGGAGTGCGAGGACAAGGCTCCCGTGTGCGGTGAGTGGCCACCTCTCAGCTTCCATCTACGAGCTCCCATCTACGTGCTCCTGCCACTACAAAAACCAACCTGCTTAATCCACTTACACGGCATTTACACAAGTTTAGGAACCCTTGTTGTGTTGACACTGCTGCAGGTCACAAATAAAGTCTTCAGCAGGAGAGCAACTACAAAAAGGAGGCCAGAAAAACTTAGAAACAGATCTTTTTCTTACTTTATACAGAAAATACTTCAACCTATCTGTAAGTTTGATGGACAAGTTTCTGGCCTGCTCATCCCTATCAGCTGACTATTAGTAGCTGCAATTATAAATGAATTTGCAATTGCAACTAATGATTTTCAACACACTAATGTAATAAACATAGTCATCAAATATACTATTTATGGAAGTAACATGTCCACAAACCATAAAATGTGATTTTTAAAATACAGTATCTATATAATCGGTGTACATGTACCCATACAATAATGACTGCATCCTAGTAAGTTTTGTTTAATTACTTGAAAATACAACTATAATACATTTATATCAGTCTCTCTTGTAAAAGATGGGGACAAAAAGTGGACTAAGAAACAAGGTGGAAAAGTATAAAGGATTTAAAAAACAAAGAACAAAAAGCATGTTTTGTTTCACAATTCCCRCCAGCTTTAAACAAAGTTTTCATAAAATTTTTTTGTTATACTTGAAGGATTTCTTGAAAYGATGTCTTTTATGAAAAGCCCCTAAAATTCCATTTTTTTTTTTAAATCAGGTACTAAATCCAAAATATTTTGCTTGTAATTCTGTACTGCTACCTATGATGCAAAACAGCTTGAAGACTGGATACTATTTGCACCATAAAAATACAGACCTTTAGAGTTGTTTACAGCAGAGGATCTGAGTTTCTGAGCCCTATACTTAAAGAGGCAAAAAGAGCCATTCACACAAATCACCAAACCAAGCAAGAATCTGCCTGACCTAAAATTACATCAAGCTTTTTGACACTATTTCCTTTCCTCCTTTTTATTCAACCTTCACTTTGCCACATCTGCCCTGTACAGCCTATCTACCTTCCTCCTCTGCCTCCTGTCTCTCAAACTGTCCGGTTAACAGGCAGGTTACAGTCGACCTAGATTTGCCTCTCCACGTTACTGCTCCTATTCCAGTCCAGGCGTTGACARCAAGTGTGTTACAAGGAACAAGTTGAAACTAAGTACCTATCATAGCACTGAGAAGATTAAATTCGGAGCAAAAAGAGGAAAGGGAATAGTTCTTCTTTATTCTTCTTAGTCAATGTTTTATTTATGCTATTAAGTGGTTCTTAAGGTAGCTAGTTACAACTTGAAAATATATACATTAAGAACACTTTCATTTTATGGCAGTATTTGAATTCAGTCCAACTGAACACTTATTTCTGCTCCAAGGCAAAACGCAAGCACAGGTTTACTTGGCTTTCGAAATGTTAAGTACTCAGACAAGACGTTATCATGGATTTTCAGTTTATAGAGAATCACAGAGAGAAAATATCACATCTGGGTTGGCATAATTAAACCAAAATTTATTGCGGTAGAAGAAACCATTTGTACCAGACAACCCCTTAAGTTGTAACACTACAATTATAAAACAAATGCCAGAAAAGCATTTTTTAACTTAAGACATATCTTACCATTCTACTGCCCACTTTAGCGAGAAAGGTGGGMAGTTTAAGCTGAACATGGAATATCKTTGCACCTTTTATTTCACATGTGTAATTTTTAATGCTAYATCCTTCAACAGGTAATAGAGTATGGAGCACAGAAAACTTCACAAACACAAGATTCACAAGAGCAACTGGGCAGAGGGAAGGTCACATATCACTTTAGAAAGAGGAATTAGGTATCACGTTTCCTCTTTTTAGGGAAGGGAAATTAAAAAAAAAAAATATTAAAGTCATTACCCAATGGCTGCAGTTTTCTCTGTTGAGATAGTTCACATGATTAAGCAATTTTTGCTAAACCAAACAATGCTTGTATATCCCCTAATAATGAGATGTCCTGCCATGGAGCTTCTAAAGAATATTAAGAAGCTGCAGATCTTACTACAACTCAGTACAGAACAGATTACGCTTGAATGATATGAGCAAATACAAGTATCAACAGTGTTTTATAAAATATTACAGCTCTAAGTGGCAAACGTTGAATGGGAAGTAACAGTAATTATGTTTCCCTTTGATATTTTGAATCAATTCAAACATTCCATCAGACTAACCTTTATTTTCTTTCAGAATCACTAGAAGACAGATGTCAAAAAATGGCATGCGAATGTGACCGTGAAGCTGCCAAGTGTTTTTCTAAAGCTCCCTATCATACAAAGTACCTTTTGTGGCCAGATTCCATGTGTGGTGAGATTCAGCCTTTCTGTAGACATTAGATAAGGATAGCTGTCCTTATGRAAACTCTATACGTATTTAAATCTAAAAAGACTTTTTTTCTCTTGTTACCATAGAAAATAAATGAATTTTTCCCCCTTTCTTGATCCTGCTTTCTACCAACTCAGCCCTGAATAGCCAAAGCAAGAACTTGTCCTCTTGTTTAGCTTTCATTGGACTAAAAGCAAATTTCTCTGTAAAAATACATTATTCTGTGACTAAATATCATGTTATTAAYATAATATCAATAATATATTACTTCTGTGACTAATTACCAATTTATCATCTTAAGGGATAACTGACTTAAAATTTATCTGGTTTACCTTCATATTAACAGTATCATTCCCTGAAATTTTTCATCCATACTAGGTATATGATGCCATCCTTTCCACTAGCATTTAACATTCTTTTGTGAAATGTTAACAATTTGTTAACTTTGAACTAACAAGAAAAAAATCCATGAAATGACATTGTTAAAAAGTCCTCTTATTTACATTAAAGACTCATTACTCAACCTAATTTAACTTTCGCATGTCATTCTACTTAAGTCTTACATATATTAGAAATTCCTTAATATCTTTTTACATGTGTTAATTCTACTTAAAAAAAAAAAATCCTTTAGAAGTTGTTCATTTGATACAGCTCTAGGTCCTCATTCTGTGTACACCTCCAGTTTCTTATAGGCTCTGGATTAAAAACTGTACCTATAAAACTTCAGAGGCAGATTAAGAGTGCAAAAATAAACTAACAGTAAGAAGGATATCTGAAAAGAGGAGAAGCTGCTGGGACCAGCTACCCTTCCCCTTAAGGTCTGCTCTTACACAAAAACAAGAGTTTGCTAAGTTCACAACTCATAAGGAGTTAAACAAGGTTTAAGTTAGAGTGACCTCAAAATCTCTGGAAGTCTTCTATGAAGAGAAAACAAAAACAGAGTTGCTGAATAATACACTTTTTATTAGCAATAATTTTAACAGATTAAAACTGAGAACGTTTTAAGTCTGTTTTGTCTTCCTTCAACTCAATTATAGAGGGCTAAATAACAAATTTACACAAGCCAAAACTAATGTCAAGTATTTCAATATAAAAATGTAAAAAAAAAAAAAAATCAATAGAAAGAAGGATTATGATTTAAAAGAGATCTTTAATCTTTAAAAATATTCATAGGCAAATCTGAAGTTGATTTTAATGATACAAATAAAAAAAAGATAAGACAATGTAAGAGGACATGGCGTTAAAAAAAAGTTAACTTTCGTTTCAGTCAAAAAGCATACATTATCAAAGGGCAATCCTGTTCATACAAAATAAATTTTCAATCAGGTTGTAATCACAGATCCAGATACACATGTTACAGTGCAGTAAGGCATAATTACAGTATCAGGCCGCTTTCCAAAAATATTCCTTTAAAGGATAACCCTGAATTTATTTTGAGCATTAGCACTTTAAGGAGACAGCATTAAACATGCTAATGATGAAGTCCAACTGATCTGAAAAAAGAAAATTTTGAATGGCAACTGCCACATTTTCCAAAACAACCCTCAAGGAGTCTCTGCCTTCAATAGGGAAAATATTGAAACAAGTGCTACTGTGAGATTATTGTATTTGACCATCGGAATTTCACATTTAAAGCCGACTGAAAACCCTGAAGTACTTTCAATATCAAGCTTATCCAGGAACAGCTTTCCTTTGGCAAACTTAGGTTCTGAGCAACACACTGTTAGTGTGAAACACTAACAGAATCACTGTAGCTGTTCAGAAAACAATAGCTTTAAGGCTTTACCCAGCAGGCTTGCAAATAATCAGGTATCACAAGACAGAAGAGTTTGATTCTGTTAATTTAAATTTGGACGTGCCAGTGTACATATTTAAAGGCTAATTCACACATGATTTTTTTTTAATCCAAAAGTTCATTTTGGATAAAGCCCGCTTTTAGCTTGGAATCTAGCTTACTTASGAGTAACTTACCTTAAGGCTTTTCTCTCATGTTTGCATCACTCACTACCACATATATAAAGAAGCAAATCAAATACMATTTTTTAGAAATTAAACACCTTAATAGTTTCAGTGCCAGTTACTGCACTTGCGTTTCCAGTCGCCTGACTTCTTTAACCACGAGATCGATATTTATAATTGGGTTAAAGTACAAGGCCCAGTAAAACAAGCAGTTGCAGACAAACTGAGGAATAAAAGGCCAAAAAATGGCAACACAAAGACCCCGGGTTGAGACTTTCCAGAAATGTCTCCACATTCTGTGAGGAATAGTCCTGTGGAAAAGGAAAGGGAGAGGCTTAGAGGGATTTTTTTTTTTCCCCAAAAAAGCTATACTGAAAAGAGCTAATGTGTTGTAGTTCCAAATTAACACTCTTATCTACAAGAGATTATTTTGAACTTTAGAAAAACTTTTTTAAAATCACAGTAATTTTTTTTATGAAGTAGCATTAAACTAATTTATTCTGACCACAAAACACAACAAATTAAAGTGGTTGAATTCCAGATTGGCCACAGAGCACCACGGCACCTTGCTCTCTTCTGAGGATGTTCTGCCCCCTAACTGTAAGCAGAGAAAATGTAACCCCTGTACTCCCAAGCAGGAAGAGCTCCAAAGCAAATTCTGAAACACCTATCACCAAAAGGTCATGGCAAGTATGACATAATATCAATATTTCTAAAAAAAAAAAAAAAAACCTGAAAACAGTAATTTTGATCATGTTGTTGATTGTGTCTCAGAGAAAGTATCACCAACTAGTGTGTTACTTATGATCTTAAGCAAGCATCCTTCAATAACTGTATCATAAGCATATAAATACATAAGAACGTTGTTTTGGTTTCCCAGCAGACAACTAATTCCAAATACTATAAAGTGACTTTCACTCTAAGAGTTACTATATAACCAATGCTTAAACATGTGCATATTACTATGGCATTTGCTACATCTAAGCACAAGAACTAGTGCAGATTCAGATGAATCAGCCCCAGGGATGTGTTTAGTCATTTCAACAAGCAATCACAAAACTATGACAAATGGTTATTTTCTTTCTTTTCTTATCCTCTTCAACAAGCTCAGTAAGACTTACTTCAATTCTCTTCTTGACCATAGTCTCCAAAAAGAGAACAATTCCAGAACAGAAAGCAACATGGCATTTACAATGATAAATCTTGATGTCCAGTAGTGCACCTCTAACCAGTCCCAAGCAAATTCAGCTATCAGCTGGTACGGCAAAAATAAATACTTTACAATGAATTCTCTCCACTGTTTCCATGTAGGGTCTTTAGGGTCCTATAAATTAGGGTAAAGAGACTGTGAATCAGTTTCATACTAAATAAACAAAATAATAAGTATTTCAGTAGTGGAAATAAACTATTTCCTTTTTCCTACAATAAAAGCAGTATTTTGCCTTTACTGTACTATCTGATAGACAATATATGATAATTTCCTTTAAGTGAGCATAACCCATCACAGTCAGGCTTCACGCTGTTATTCATAAAAAGTAGATATTTACAGTAAAATGTCTTTACTTAGGCACTTAAATGTTAAATACATATATGTATAATACATATATATTGGTTTTAAATATTTAAAATCTTTAAAGACTTAAGCTAATSTTATTAAGGGTTACTGCATGGGATTATCAGTAGGATGACCATAAAATGCATTTTTGATTTGTATTGTAAAAGATAAAATGGCSAAGAACTACATCTGGAATGCTTTAAATTAAAACAAGCAGAGGATTTAAAGATTTGAACACCTACTAGTAGTTTTGTGACAATATCTTCATATTCATCTTCTTGCATAGCACAAATTGTATGGATGAAAGGTAAAAAAGTTTCTGCATAATCAAACAAATACAGGTATAACATACTGAGTCTTGGAGAACTCTTCAGCGCATATAGAAGAAAGAGTGATTTTCCAGGATTTACTGCCTGAAAGGTATCAAGTTATCAAATTTCAAACAACAAAAACAAACTTTAAGTCGCCTAGTTAGACTGTTCTGGCGATCTTTATATTTTTGTTATAACGCTAYCCATTTCTTTCAATAAGAAATGTTAAATAACTATGAAGTTTCCACAGATACTATTCTACTTTTGAAGTTAACTTCTAATTTTAAAATACTAATTAAAAAGATTCTTAGTATACATGATAGACTTTATACAAAAATTACCTTATATTCCCAAAGGTTCTGTGGAGGTTTAACCCCTAAAGYTTTGACACAATCCAATTCCAACATAATTGCTTTTCTGTGATTACTGTTCTCTATATTGTAAGGCTCTTTTGTGAAGTCGTCTTCTGTCAGGGTTAGAAGTAGCCTTCAAAAACAGAAGAATTTAAAAGGTAAATAGTGACTATTCACCAAAAAAAAAAAAAAAAANAAAAAAAAAAAAAAAAAAAAGACTGACAATTAGCAATGAGATGCTGAAACAATAAGCTACTGACAAGCTACTGACAGAAGTTAACACCTTTTGGATAATATTCCATACTAGACATTATGAATGAAATGCATTTCAGCACCTGGATCTTAAATATCCTTCTTTGCAAGGGTATTTCCTCTTTTCTCTTGCTTGTGCTCAGCACGCAAATTTATCAGCACGTAAGGTAATGAACACAATACTTCACAGATCTAGTTTGGTCTCCTGAAATCAAACTGACAGCTCTAGGGTGGACTACAATAATGCAAATAACATATGTATATTTTCAGAAAGAGGTGAAAAAAAAAAAAAAGAGGTGCAACTGAAAGTGTTGATGATGCATTAGTAGAATGTTACTTTCAAAATCATTTCAATCCATATTGTCATCATTTGAACATATTGTTAGAAAAACTTCAGTAACAAATATTAAGGAAGCTACCTGAAGTTTTTAACCAGATATGTTCAACTACTCCTGAATTTTAGTCAGTAGAATATTCCCTCAGTCTGTGGGCCAAACTTGCAGCACTCTATACCCAAAGAATGTTATCGAGGAGTCCAACCAAGTGACAGCTGTTCTTGCCAGTGAGACTTCTCACCTTCCATTGACTTTCTCATGCAAAAATCTTTCTTTGTAATGTGATGCCCATGGGCCGAGCTGCTCTAGCCAAAGGATCACTTCTTCAGCGGTCCATTTAGCAACAGGCTTTTGGACAAGAAGATCATCTTCAAATTCTCTGCTGCTCCAGTGATACCCAAGTAGAACTACCTACACACACATTACAAATAAAAGAGATCTTTACCTGAAAGGCAAATATGCCAGTGATACAAGGAAAACAGATCTGTGTTACAGTGCCCGACATGTAAAATGATCCATTTTAAGGACCCTAGAATATTTAGTTTATAAGAAAGTATTGAAATTTTACCTGATATGTCTGATTTCCTTTTGCTGTACATTCCTGACAAATAGCTCTGAATGCCACCTAATTTACTTAGCTCAATTACAGTCTCTACTATGCTAATGACATTTTTATGTATGTGTAGTTTAAGTGTATTTGATTACACACTTAATGAAGTAAACATGGAAAAGCACTGAGATGAAACTTACTGCTACACAAGTTAAAGCTGTCAGAACGCCTGAAAAAAATCCTCCTCCTCGAGGATTAATTCTTCTTATGTTTGGAGCTGTAGGAATCTGGTCATTCCCGTATTTTTGGAAGGTTGCTAAACTGCGTGCTACATCACTGTTTTGTTGAATATCTTCTTTTCTTTGTTCAATGGCATCAGAAAATAGCTTTTCAATAACATCCCTAATGGGAAAAATACTTGTCATTGTACTATAATCCACTGATGATTAACATTAAGAAAAGGGACTTTCAGATGTTTGTTTTCCAACCTCTAGTAGAAACATTTTTGAAAGCACAAAAACAACTGTTATTAATATTTGCTATAGTAAAATTAAGCTTCAGCCAATCACTTCAAAACAGCATATTTCTTAAATTCTGAAGATTGAGGGAATCAAAAAATCTTACATTAAAAAAAATCCTTATTTCATTTATAAAATTACTAATGTGTACTACTGGCAAGCCTTGACTATTCAAAATGTTAAGCAAAAGAGAACATAAAAGCCCACTGTCATTCTTGGAACCATAATATTTAATAAAATATTATTAACATAAATCAACAGTGCCTTAAAAAGGCAGGGTAATTGGAGGGTAATTCAAAATAACAAATTAGTATTTTTAGTTTTGATCCGCACTAAAATCTCATTTCTTATACACAATTCCAACAAAGAAATAATCACAGTTATCAAAAATCGTTCTAATTCAGAATTATTAGGAAACAAATTTATGTTAAAAGATGAAAGCTTCTGGAAAAGAAAATCAACAAAAACACTCCGTTACACACAGGAAAAAAAGAACACTTGAAAAGTTCAGAAGAATTGCACAACCTAAAAGGCTTTGAAGATCTTTGTGAAAACCGAGATTACCAATAAACTACGAAAATCTGCAGCAAACTCAAGAAAGTAGACAATTAAAAGCATATTAAAATCACCTGAGGAGAATGTTGACTTTGGGGAATCCTTCCCATTTTTCTCTGCATTCTGGACATTCATTCTTCTTGGAGGACACCCACCACAAGGCTAGGCAATGTCTACAGAAACTATGGCCACAGTTCAAGGTGGTGGGATTGACCAGAATGTCATAACAGCAGTGACAAAGGAACTCACTAACTGATATCTGGCGGCTGAGTTCAGGGGTTTCAACTTTTTCTGCCTCTGGCTCATTTTGTGAAGTTTCACCTTCTTCCATTTTGCTTTTATACTTTATTCAAACTGAAAGCTGACTTGGGTTACCAGATCAGGCAAGTCATTGCTTCTGCAAAGCAACAAAATAAACTTTATTAAGACAAAATCTATTGTATAAGTTTAGAATCAAAAGCAACATATTCTATCAGTGGAATACCCTTTGTAACTCAGGTCGTTTTAAACTCCTTGTGTTTTTAACCAAATCAGCGCTTCCCAAACCGAAACATGACATTTCCCACTGCAACAATATTGTGAGGTACAATCAAAACCAGACTCTAGACATTAACAGTTGAACTCAATCTCCCTATATTTTCCTGCCCACTGGTATAAGTGATTTACGTGATATATATATATATATATATATATATATATATATATATATATAGGAGATATATATGTCTCACATAAAAAGGAAACCAAAAAGACTCCCTCTGTGAGGGAGGGACTCACTCCTATCTCTGTGAGATAGTTTTTTATTATTTTCTCTGTATATTTAATCAAGGTTTTAGTAAACAACACCAAGTCCAAAGAAATGCCATAAAAAAATCAATCAAAGGGGAAAGAAAAAAAAAACCCCACACATGTAACACACACATAATGATGAGCCTTCTCTGTTGCTGTTCTTTCCAAACGGTTTCTTGAGTGAAGAATGAAACGTTTCAAATGAAACAATTTTAACCTAGGTCAGTACTGGCACTGCTGTGCAACCCTGGAAAAGTTCATCCACAAGGTCATAAACTTTCAGGATTATATGGGATTGGTCTGCTTGCCACTTCTGTGGAGGACAGGGCTCCAAATTAACTTCTTGACCGGTACTTACTCCTCCTTCTTCACTATTTCAGAAAACACGAAACTGGCACAGAATTTAACAATTCCCGCTAGCTTACCAAAACAGAATTACAAACCTATTTGCTCTCAGTTCCTATTATAGAAGAGATGCCACGGCCGGAGACAAGGCAAACACGGGCAGGGATCCCCGCGTCCCGCCGCGCTCCAGGGCAGCCCGGCCCCGCTGCCGGCCGCGGCTCCCGCCGCGCTCGCTCCTAGCCCGGAGCCACCGCCGCGCTGCCGGGAGCAGGCGCGGGCTGCGGAGCCTGCGCAGGTCAGCGCGGAGCGCCCGAGGCGGGGCAGACGTACGCACCGATAGTGAAAGCGGCCTCCTCGGACCGCTCGCCAGCACGGCCTGCCCAAGGCGGGCACAGGCAGCCCCGAGGCGTTACCTACGCGGGGAGAAGGAAACCGGCGGCGTTGTGCCCGAGGAGCGGCGAGCCGGCCCGGCTGCCGCAGCGCTTCCCGCCCGGGCGGCTCCAGCAGCGCCGCTGCCCTCCCGCCTGCCCCTTCCCGGGGGCCGGGGCCTGGCGCGGCGAGGCCGCCGCTAGGGCCGCACTCACCGCCTTGTACTCGTACTGCAGGCTCCGCGCGGTCACGTCCGCACCGGCGCCGCCGGGCCCGCCGCGCCGCCCCGCCGCTTCCGCGTGTCCGCGCCGCCCCGCGGGGCGCGCCCGGCCCGAGGCGAGCGCGGCCCGGAGCCGCTATCCACACCCGCCAGCAGCCGGGCGGGTACTGCAGGCCCAGCCCTGCCCCGCGGCTGCCCCTCAGCCCAACACAAAGGGTGRCTTTTATTTATTTTTATTTATTTATTATTATTATTAAGACTACTGGGGAGATAACATTTTTCACTGAGAAATACAAAATGGAATTTTCCGAAAAGTATAAAAGTCCTGTTTTTGAGATTTTTCTATGTTCGTCTATGCCCATATTGAAAATAACATTTTTTTATGAGTTAAAAAAACACAAAGGATTTACCTGTTTGATATTTTTTTCTAAATACCCAATAAAATATACTCTTGAAGTAGAAAACCTCTCTAATCCTAATCTAATCTCTAATACATTCAATTTCTACAATTGAATGAAGAATTTGAATTCTTCAAATACATTTGTTTTGAACTAAGGGCATTTCAATTCCTATTCCTTCAACTCCTACTAAGTAACTGCATTTATTTACAGCACTTTGCATTTCTACTTGCAGTTTTTTATTTTGTAGGGGAATATATGAAATAAAGATGTCATTTTTCAATTGCTTGGGGGGAAGAATGTTAGTTTTCTAATATGTCCACCAAACCTTGCTTTCATTTTTTTTTTTCATTATGAATTTTATGTTTCTTGACACGTCAAGAAGGAGGGAGTAAAACATAAAACTTTGTTTCAAGTATGACAGACTTACCAGCCAATCTCTGATGTAAGTAAGGCCACAGCTCTTTCTTGCACTTAGGTTAGCTGTAATACTAATTATTTTAATACACAGACAAGTATTTGAGKGGGGGAGGACAAAAATAAGTACAGTTATATTCACTACTCTTTAGTAATGTAACAGTTCTTGTATTTTTAGCAGTAGCATTAAACACTTCATCATAACTATGAAACAACTGTAAGCAGTTAACATGTGAAATCCACACCGCTTTCCAGAAAACTGTTTAAAAAACACAAAATTAACCCCCCCCACATAACCAACTTGAGGACCTCCGGGAGACTAAAGATGTAAAGCTACCACACACCTTTTCTTGAAACGACTGCTGCATTTTTGAGGTATTAAATCCAAGACAGAACTCTTTGTACCAGCAGCTAGTGAGGGATGTTCAGTTCAGTTATTTGGGTTGCTACTCACTGTCAGACTTGTTGCGCAGAGCAGGATGTGCGGGGGCTGAACCCCACCACAAACAGCRCTACCACAAACACTTGCTTTGCCTTTAATTCCTACTTGAATACTCCTATCTCCAAATCCCAAAGATTTTATTTGCCTGTTAATTACTTGTTGAATATTGCTAGCACTAACGCTTTTAAGTTCTGTAAGCAAAGACTCCTGCATTGTTAAAAAAAWAAAGAAAAAAAGGTAAAGTAAGATCAGTATGTCAGGCTCCAGAGAATTCAGTACAACTATGCAAGAACTATGCTGCTATTTCAGCTAACCTCCTAGCGAGCACCATTTAACAGCATAGATGGCYAGCTCCTTGTGGCCATCTACAGCTTGTACTAGAAGGCAAAACCTTAGATTGAAGGGCCTTTGGAAACACACTTCCTCAGCATCTCCTAATTTTTCATCACCTGGTTACCTCATCTGGTTACCTGCAGGGTGCAGGTTTTCCCTGTCCGCACCGGCCTCCTGCAGGTGCCGCCCGCCGCGCACACCCAGCCCAGGCACCACGCTGGCCCACGGCTACTAATTCAAGGCCTGACGTGGCGCCCAGCGCCCTCCAACGTGCASAGAGCCAGGCCGGGCACGGAGCTGAGCGTGTCCCTGTTCCTGCTCTAGCAGGACTCTGCTCTGAACACTGCTTGGGCTCCAGACCCTGCTCCC